CATAAGGAAGCATACCTCAAATTTGAAAAAGGCTTGGTTGCAAAAGAAGTCCTGGAAAAGTCTACAGTGATCATCACAGTCACCTGACTTAAATCCCATAAAAAAAATCAAAACTGGGATCTGAAGAAGGCGGTTGCAGCATGCAAACCCAAGAATATAACTGAACTGGAGGCCATTGCTCATGAGATCGTTTCTGGTTATGCTTCTCATTTGCAACAAGTCATCACAGCAAAATGGTGCTCTACTAAGTACGTAGGATGCTTGCCATGAAGGGGTTGTATCATTTTGAGACTGGAGAAGTCATTATAAGTTGGATTTTCAGTGGAGTTTTGGGAAACCACTTGAAGCATTCATTGTGTTGAGCTATTTCAATTGCTTTTTGTATGATTTGTTCATTGCAAACAGCTGAAAGTCTGTCAATTCTGATTAAAACTGTGTGTGTGTATATATATATATATATATATATATATATATAATGCACATGAAAAGAATAAAAAGTCACATAAATGGTTATATACTTCCTTTGAATTGGTTCACTTGTGCACATAATCTGCAGGTATAGAAGATTATTATGTACTCATGAATTGCATCAATGTTATTTTCACCAGCAGTTTCTGCACACTCAGCACAATATTTTATTATCAGCACAATATTTTATTATCAGCACTATGTCACTTTTTTTCCAATATGTTGTCACAGTAGCACTTTTATCATCATTGATCCACTTTAGATATATTGACACTTTAATATTTGAGGCACTTTAATATAGCACCTTATGATTACGGGCATTATTGCTGGTTTATGGTCTTACTGTAGAAAGACCAATTGTATTTTTGTCCTAATGTGTTCCCTTAGGTCTGTGATCTAACTTATTTAGCCCTTGTACAGGGTTTTTGAGCACCCATAACCAGATTACACTGCACTAAAGAACTCACGATAGTGTATATACATTCCCATAGAGATTGTAAATATGCCGTGTCACCATGGCAGCGGCGGCAGCACAAATAATGACGTCACAGTTAGGGGTGGAGCCTCTGTCACACATGCGCACTGGGTCCGGCAGAACGCTGGTTTCAACACACAGCACCTGGGGTAAGTCAATTTACATCCTTATGCACCCTATATATTCACATTGTTCGATAAATGTATGTTTATGATCCTGATGAAAGTCTTTGAGGAGGACTGAAACGTTGATCCTGCTTTTAAAGAATCAGAAATAAAAGTTATATATATATATATATATATATATATATAGTGTAGATTTGATTAGCCGTATTAGTTCAGTAGACAAAATGCAATAGGTCTGAAGCAATACTGATCAATCTGATAGAGTATAACACTTAAAATAACTGATGTTAGGGAAGGGGAGGGGGGTGAGTGGGGTGTTATAAATAGCAGAAGATGTCCCTGAAAGTGAAAGGTGCAGGTTGGCTGAGAATAGCCAGAAAAAGTAAATAAACAGAGGAGAGTCAATAAGCTAGCTAAGAAAAAAAAAAAAAAAAGAAAACAGCAGGGCATGCAAGTAAATAGCTGCATATATGTATGTATATAAATTGATCCAATATAGTTGAAGCGAGAATATCGAAAAAGAACTATATAAGACATTAAGATATCAGCACACATCTTAATGTGTTTTTTGGATCAATTTACATATGCAGCTATTTACTTGCATACCCTGCTCTGCTGTTTTATTTTTTTGTGTTGTTCAGGATAGGGGACATACAGGTCTCTGACTGTTTCTTTTAATTTATTTGCATTTTCTAAGAAACAAAGGGATGCTTTTCAGCTCGGTTTTGAACGTGAGAACACATAGATCTACTAATCCACAGAAGAGGAATGCACTCCAGTTTTCTGACCTTGTACAATATAAACAGGCAGCATGTATAACATTTAAACATATAATTGCGCATTTATGAGAGTCTTCATAATGGCCTTTTTAATTAAAATTATGCTGAACTATGGTAAAGATATGTATATCTTCAGCATGTAAACAGGATGTTCACATTTCCCATGTACACAGTAATTCTGATAATGTTCAGGGCAGGGGCTGTAGAGGCCTCTGGCTGATTCCTCTAATTTATTTGTATAATATACACACACACCTTCAAAAGTCACAAAGATGAACTGCTAAGGCAATGCCTGAGACAACAATAGATAGAGACATAAACATAGAACAGTTATGGCCTCCCAGAGTAACCTCTACCTCACATAACTGTCCCTTGCACTCTCCTAAAGGGCAGCACTATATTCTCTCCTCCAGCTCTGCTTCAATCCCACTTTTTAAAAAAAAATTCTCCTGTCCTATTATGTTTTATACCCCACCTTTTATAAACTTTAAGCTTGTTTGAGTAGGGTCATCTTCAACCTATTGTTCCTCTAAGCTTTTTGTAATTGTCTTATTTATTGTTAAATCTCCCATTTTTAATATTGTAAAGAGCTACAGAATTTGTTTGCGCTATATAAATGACAATAATAATAATAGTGGATTAAGAAAAGGAGATGGATCCATGGCAAGACAAACCATGCGATGGTGTGTACCACCACCAGTTAGTGGTAGTGGCTTACATTACAAAATCTTACTAGTGGTTGGAAAATGCAGGACTAGAAGACAGTATAGATACACTAATCCTAGCAGCAAGTGGGCGTCCACCACACCAGACAAGACCCAGGGTGCAGACTGTGCCAAAAGATTTTTGAAACAATCCAACATATAGTAGCCAGGCACGAGATGTTAGATAGGACAGCACTGAGAGGCACAACCACGTTGCTGGGATTTTGTACCAAAATATCTGCACAAAATACACTGCTCAAAAAAATAAAGGGAACACCTAAACAACACAATGTAATTCCAAGTCAATCACACTTCTGTGAAATCAAACTGTCCACTTAGGAAGCAACAATGAGTGACAATCAATTTAACATGCTGTTGTGCAAATGGGATAGACAACAGGTGGAAATTATAGGCAATTAGCAAGACACCCCCAATAAAGGAGTAGTTCTGCAGGTGGTGACCACAGACCACTTCTCAGTTCCTATGCTTCCTGGCTGATGTTTTGGTCACTTTTGAATGCTGGCGGTGCTTTCACTCTAGTGGTAGCATGAGACGGAGTCTACAACCCACTCAGCTCATGGCTCAGGTAGTGCAGCTCATCCAGGATGGCATATCAATGCGACCTGTGGCAAAAAGGTTTGCTGTCTCTGTCAGCGTAGTGTCCAGAGCATGGAGACAGGTGATGTGGAGGAGGCCGTAGGAGGGCAACAACCCAGCATCAGGACCGCTACCTGCACATTTGTGCAAGGAGGAACAGGAGGAGCACTGCCAGAACCCTGCAAAATGACCTCCAGCAGGCCACAAATGAGCATGTGTCTGCTCAAACGGTGAGAAACAGACTCCATGAAGGTGGTATGAGGGCCCGACATCCACAGGTGGGGGTTGTGCTTACAGCCCAACACCGTGCAGGGCGTTTGGCATTTACCAGAAAACACCAAGATTGGCAAATTCGCCACTGGCGCCCTGTGCTCTTCACAGATGAAAGCAGGTTCACACTGAGCACATGTGACAGACGTGACAGAGTCTGCAGACGCCGTGGAGAATATTCTGCTGCCTGTAACATCCTCCAGCATGACCAGTTTGGCAGTGGGTCAGTAATGGTGTGGGGTGGCATTTCTTTGGGGGGGACGCACAGCCCTCCATGTGCTCGCCAGAGGTAGCCTGACTGCCATTAGTTACCGAGGTGAGATCCTCAGACCCCTTGTGAGACCATATGCCCTGGGTTCCTCCTAATGCAAGACAATGCTAGACCTCATGTGGCTGGAGTGTGTCAGCAGTTCCTGCAAGACGAAGGCATTGATGCTATGGACTGGTCCGCCCGTTCCCCAGACCTGTATCCAATTGAGCACATCTGGAACATCATGACTCGCTCCATCCACCAACGTCACGTTGCACCACAGACTTCCAGGAGTAGGCAGATGCTTTAGTCTGGGTCTGGGAGGAAATCCTTCAGGAGACCATCCGCCACCTCATCAGGAGCATGCACAGGCGTTGTAGGGAGGTCATACAGGCACATGGAGGCCACACACTACTGAGCCTCATTTTGACTTGTTTTAAGAACATTACATCAAAGTTGGATCAGCCTGTAGTTTGTTTTTCCACTTTAATTTTGAGTGTGACTCCAAATCCAGACCTCCATGGGTTGAAAAATTTGATTTTCATTTTGTAATTTTTGTGTGATTTTGTTGTCAGCACATTCAACTATGTAAAGAACAAAGTATTTCAGAAGAATATTTAATTCATTCAGATCTAGGATGTGTTATTTTTGTGTTCCCTTTATTTTTTTGAGCAGTGTATATGCTGCACCTGTTTAAATTCAGATGGGAGATACCACAAAGGGTAGTTGAGAATGACAGGACTAAGATCCTGTAGGGTTTTCAGATCCAGACAGACAAACAGACAGGCAAGTAGTGGCCAACCAACCATATATTGTGGTGGTAGACAAGGAACTGAAGAGTACAGTGGTGGTGTATGTGGCCAGTGAGCATACATTAGCAAGAAGGAACATAAGATGGTGGAAAAATAAGTACTGAAAGAGGAGCTAGAAAGTATGTGGAAAGTGAAACCAGTAGTAGTCCGAGTTGTGATAAGAGCACTCAGGGCTGTGATCTCCAAGTTGGAAGAATGGCTTAAGCAGATTCCAGGTGGGGCATCTGAGATCTCTGTCCAGAACAGTGCAGTTCTAAAAACAGCTAAGATACTGCACAAAAACCTCAGACTGCCAGGCCACTGGCAGAGGACCTGAGCATGCGGAATACACAAAAATATCACCCAGAGGGATGAGCCAGTCAATGTATGTATATACAGCATCGCACAAAAGTGAGTACACCTCTCACATTTTTGTAAATATTTTATTAAATCGTTTCATGTGACAACACTGAAGAAATGACACTCTGCTACAATGTAAAGTAGTAAGTGTACAGCCTGTATAAAAGTGTAAATTTAACAGTGATACAGGGGTTAAAGTGGCATGAATGCAGATAGGACACACTATCTGCACTCATGTCACTTTAACCCCTGTATCAAAAATCAACTTTGAATTCTATGTGTTGTCATCCTCAGAAATGCTTTAGACTTGAGAAAGGGAGGTTCTCCCGATAGCTTATCATTAAAAAAATTCTGTTAGTCCAATAAAAAAAGTATTATAAGATACAAATTTGATCTGTTTTTTTTTACATCTACATCACTGGACTAATAAGGCCACAATCTACTTGCTAATGATTTGCATTAACAATGAAACAGCTGTCCATGAGTGGTTTACTGGCTTTGCATCTTTTCCTAAGTAGTGTTTAGAAGCTGTTTTATACAGCAAACACAGACTCAAAGGAATCCATGTTTAAAATGGAATGAGGCAAAAATGTGATTCTTTGTTAAACTAATTTGCAGATGCCCACCCAGAATCCTTTGCAGTAGTAATATCACTGCAGATTTGTGATTTCTGTGGGAAAAGCAAGTCTTATGGCTTCACTGGTGTGCAGATGTTTGTTTAACATTGTAATATAGATATATATATATATATATATATATATATATATATATATATATATATATAATGCACACATATCTTGAAAGTCCTTAGACAACACTGCACATTATTTTTAAGTGAAAAAGTTGTTTTATGAAATATGTATAATATTATTGAACGGTATCTCAGTTGGATTACATATTTTAAATTTGAGATGATGTTAAAGTGTTTCTCCAAGCACGACTTTAATGATTTGAAGTGTTTATGGTGCTTGGAGTCTGTATTAGCAGTATTTCACTAAGAAGCTCAACCTCTGGCAGTATCATGAAATTGTCATCAGTCAGCCTAGAACAAAAGCTAAAGATAATACTTTGCATAGTTGGCGTCTCTTGTCATCACAACTCCCAAAAACATATTAAAGTGTCAGGGATAGGTACATTATGTAGTTGTAAAAAGGTGCTTAAGGACCCCCAAGTTATGAAAATGATGTGTTTATGTTTATATTAACCCCTTAAGGACCGAGGACGGTTCAGGACCGTCATCTGCATTTTTGCGTTGCCGACCGATGACGGTCCTGAACCGTCCTAACGGTCAGAGCTACTTACCTGATCGCCGTCGTTCCCCCGGCGGCGATCAGCGTGGCTCCGGTTGTGGGGAGACTGCCTGCAGCCCAGACAGTCTCCCCACACTGATTAGGACCCCTGTGGCCATGTGATCGCTTAACACAGCGATCACATGGTCACAATAGGTGTCCATGTGTCTGCCTGCAGGGGGACTGTCTGTGCTGACAGGCAGTCTCCCTGCTAGTGTAAAATCAAAAAAAAAATAAAGTTAATGTTAATAAAAAATAAATAAATAATTATATATGTGTATATATGATATATAGACATATATTATATTTATATAATATATGTCTATATATCATATATATAATGTCATACTAAGTGTATTTTTATATTAATATGTACTTATATTAATATAAAAATACACTTATAATTAAATTACACACGTATATAAATATATATAATAACTATATATTGTATATATATATTATTATAAAATATAAATAATAAGTAATTTAAATTAAATATTTTTTTTAAATAATAATAAAAATTTTAAAAAAATTATATATCTATATGAAATTTTATTCTAACTGTATTTTAAAATTAATATATATATATTTATATCAAAATACACTTAGAATGAATTTGTATATATATCTATGTATATAAAAATAAATAAAAATAAGAAATATACATATGTCCATATACAAAATTACATAAATAATTATATAAATATACACGTAGACTTCAAATATATAAATATGCATATATATTTAAATTCTACGTGCGTATTTATGTAATATTTTTACATAATTCAGTAATTTTATTGATTGCAATTTGAGGGACCTGCCTGCCAACCCAGGCCGAAATTCCAGAGAATTTAATTTGCTAGCACTGTATTTTACCCTGTAACGTTCTACGACACCCTAAAACCTGTACATGGGGGGTACTGTTTTACTCGGAGACTTCGCTGAACACAAATATTAGTGATTCAAAACAGTAAAACATATCACAGCGATGATATTGTCAGTGAAAGTTACTTTTTTTGCATTTTTCACACACAAACAGCACTTTTACTGATGATATAATTGTTGTGATACGTTTTCAGTTTTTAAACACTAATATTTGTGTTCAGCTATGTCTCCCGAGTAAAACAGTACCCCCCATGTACAGGTTTTATAGCATTTTTGAAAGTTACAAGGTCAAATATATGGGTCAAATATTTTACATTGAAAATGGCCAGGTTGGTCACGTTGCCTTTGAGAGCGTATGGTAGCCCAGGAATGAGAATTACCCCCATGATGGCATACCATTTGCAAAAGAAGACAACCCAAGGTATTGCAAATGGGGTATGTCCAGTCTTTTTTAGTAACCACCTGGTCACAAACACTGGCCAAAATTAGCGTTCAATTTAGTTTTTTTACTTTTTTCACACACAAACAAATATGAATGCTTACTTTGGCCAGTGTTTTCGACTAAGTGGCTACTAAAAAAGACTGGACATACCCCATATTGAATACCCTGGGTTGTCTACTTTAAAAAAAATATGTACATGTGGGGTGTTATTCAGAGATTTATGACAGATAATAGTGTTACAATGTCACTATTGATAAATTTTAAAAATGTATGTTTTGAAACCGCAATATCCTACTTGTACCTATAGCCCTATAACATGCAAAAAAAAGCAAAAAAGCACGTAAACACTAGGTATTTTTAAACTCAGGACAACATTTTGAATCTATTTAGCAGTTTTTTTCATTCGCTTTTGTAGATGAGTAAAAGATTTTTCAAGTAAAAGTCAAAAAACATGTATTTTTTTCAATTTTTCATCAGATTTTTGTATTTTTTTTAAATTAAAATACATGAGATTATATAAATAATGGTATGTAAAGAAAGCCCCTTTTGTCCTGAAAAAAACAATATATAATTTGTATGGGAACAGTAAATGAGAAAGCGGAAAATTACAGCCAAACACAAACACCACAAAAGTGTAAAAATATGCCTGGTCGCAAATGTACAACATCGCAAAAACAGTCCAGTCCATAAGGGGTTAATTACCTCATCTTTAGGACTATGAGATTGGACACCCATGGCCCTATACTTTATCTAAGATGGCCAATGCTATTGGGCGTCTGTGGTCCTATAACCTAAATAGGATCAGACGGATTGAGAACGCTTTTTGAGCCTAGATTACCCTCCACCATACTGCACATTAATTGGAGGAAGTGGTAGTGGCCTTTTGCTGGTCTTGAATCCAGTTGAATCTTCTCTCCAGCCCCACACATGAGGGGTAATTAAAATTTTGTTTCACTGTGCATATTAATGCTTACATGATTGAGTCACACAGACTTCAACATCTATTTGCAAATTTGTGTATTCTTCCATCTACAAGAAAAGCCTAAACCAGTATTGTGACGAGACCAATCTCGCCATTGTGCATTGGAGGAGCCTGGTTGCCCGTCTGCTGCCTTTAGACTATGGCCCCATGTTGAAAAGCTTGATTTTCCCCTGCGGAGACACAAAAGCTGGGTCATTCGGTGCTGGCCCTGTTTGAGCGGTGATACCCCAGATAGCTATGCCATGGAGCCCATTCGTAAAATGAAAGACTATGGGAAAGACTTTGGCTCCATGGCAATTGAACTGTATGTGTGTGCTCTGAGCGCCATTCAGTAATAATGTGCGCTCAGATCTGAGCTATCTGGGGATATGTTGAATGTACCTGTTTTGTACAATGGCTGCACAGTTATATGTTTGTATGTGTTTTATTGTCTTTTGCTGCCATGTGTTCAATGGAGTTTTGCCTCTGTCCTTGGAGATAATTGGATTACTTCCCAATTATCTTCAGGATAGAAGGCTCTTTGGAACTGGTTTTGGGCAGAAACGCCATGCTTCCTTTGTTCACAAAGGACTACGATCTATCTTTTGAACCACTGGACCAATTTTGATGATTTTGACATATGTTTGTATTTGGAGTATGCTGATTCTGAAAATGTAAGTTTAGTAGTTTATGTCAATGTGATGCATAATTTTAAAGTTATGAATAATGTGGAAAAATTGTATTTCTCTGCTTGTGATAATTACATTACCCATTGTGTAAGGTAATTGTATCACAGGCAGAGGGGAGGATTTTGTGTGGGAGTGTCTGAGTGTATTGTATGTGTTTATTGGTTGTGTTCCAAAACCCTGTGGGTGGTACTAATGTGTATGTAAGAACAATAAACCCACAGCTCTGTCTGTCACTGCTTGACCCTCAACATGGAGCTTTGTCTCGTTCTTGGGGGGGATTTATTGTATGCTGTTCCAGTTCGACTGCTAGGAGTCGACCTTTCGTATGGTTTTTCCTATTCGGCTGTTTACAGCATTCGTATGGTTCTGGTTCGGCTGTTTACAACATTCAAATGCTTTTCCTGTTTGGCGGATTGGTGTTCTGCAGTAGCTGTGCCTGTGTCTCTAGAAAGGAAGATCTCCTAAATGGCGGTTTAACCCTTTTATGCCTGGGGGTGCCGTTACAAGTATGACATCTTATTAAAGTATAATGTCAAAAATAAAATCACACTATACTAGCTATTATTTTAAATATCCTGGGGTTTAGTAAATGTTGCTGTAGTTTTGTAGAGTGTAGAAGAGGCAGATAAATCTGCAGAAACGTATTATCGGTTGCTATTTTTGTTTCTTAAACAAATTTGTTCTAACACATATGCATTTACCTATATAAATTACTGGCACTGATGTTCGCCATGTCAGGTAAAATACATATACATACAATATATTTAAAGTGAACCTGTCATGACTTACCTGCTCCTCTGCACTCACTCCTCCCGGTCTTTTCATTTATTTGCTCTGCTTGAGGACACTTCCACAAACAGGGCAGACCTCCATCATTATGGTGACATGCTTGGCTTTATTGCCAGCATGGCAGGGAATGAACGGAGTGACATCAGCGTCTGAACAGAGTATACTACCTAGTCTGCTAGCAGCATCACCTAGGGAGTTTACA